ATATTCATACCTTTTTTCCCCCTCCCTAAAGCACTTTTGTCTTTTTACTGACTGTGCTTCAATAATATTTTCTATTCTTGAACATATATTTCTTTCGTTTTTTTCATTAGGTCATACATTTTGCATCTTAGACATTTTTGAAGCATGCTGTCAGACCACATTTGTTATTTTCTTAACAATTTATCATTTCCTAAGCTATCCCTCATGTGCAAGTGACGGGCTGTTTCTGACTTTGAGTTCAATTTTTTATTTAATTTTTTTTCCAGGCATGCCCTAGTTTTTCTTTTCTGGAGTCTCCCAAAAAAAAAAAAAAGAAAAAAAAAGAAAAAAAAAGTGCATTTAAATTGACCAACCACGTGAACAATCAACCTACCAACTAATCAACCAAATAATTACCTAAAGAACTGACCAACAAACTAACCAATTGATTTACTAATTAACCAATATACCACCCAATTAACAAACAAACTGACAAACCAACCAATTAACTATTGTGTTTGCCAACCAACTTGTCAATCAACCAAACATCCTAAAGAAACACACAAAAATACCAACAATAAATCCACAGAGTGTTAAAAAAAATAGATCAGGTCCCAAAATAAAATTTTTTTTAAGAGAAAACACATTTGACTAAATTCAGTTTCCTTCAGAAAGAATGTTTAATTGTAGCCCAAAAGTCTATTTTCTGTGTTCTCATTCCTTTTAACCATAAACCATATATAACCATAAAAAAATAACCTAATGCTGCATCTTGCAGATATTTTTTATCATAATATACTACCTCTTATGTTTATTTTTATTGTTTTTACATGTGATTTAGGCAATGACACTACATGTACTGAACTTTTATCCCTAAAGCTCCCTTCAAGATAGAAAGGTGGAGTCTTTGATGTAAACCTTTACTTTGAAAACTCAGGAGTAAATTTCACCCTTAGAGAGTTTCCCACCTCCAAGGACATCGGGTGTAATGCTGCTCTTTAGCTGTTTGGCAGTTTTTTCTTTTTCCTTTATCGGTGGACAAAAGTTGTTTCTATGTCTTTTTTATTTTTATTTTTTTATGTTATGTTATTTCAACCACCTGCCCTCTAGACACCCCCCCCCCCCCCCTTCACATGTGTGCCATCTGCTCTGGTTATACATGTAAAAAACACGTTATTTGTATCCAGGCTTACAGACTGGATGGTGAAGGATGGGGGTGGGGTCGTAAGGGTGGGTGGGGGTGCAGCTTATTATTACACTGTTCATGCCATGTGCTCGAACATGCATAGATTTCAGGAACTGGGCTGTCTGAGAAGAAACTTGCACTGTAATTTACAAAACATACAGAGCCACATTTTGTTGTCTCCTCATTTCTTCTCAGTTTTTATTATTACCTCATATTTTCATCAGCTCATGAATGTCTTACTCTCCCACTGTGTTCTCTTTTACGTATTCCTCGCTGTAGCACCCTCAGCGGGTGTTTTGTCTTTGTCTACAGCAGACACATGAAGATCAGTAAAGTAGCTTAAGTTGAGGTTAATTTCAATTGGTGACCTCACATTGTGCAGACTCCTGTGTTTGGATTAGTTCCATAATTATGAGTGAATGATTTTGTTGAGTATGTTGTACTTTTTACAAATATTTCAGTATCTATACTGTATACTGTTACTATATCTATAGTAACTATGTATATGATTAAGTCCATATCTCACACTGAACTAGAAGGCTGTAAATTGAGTTTCTGTAACACCAAGAGAAATGCCATAAAATCATATAAACAATAAAATTCCTCATGCTATGAATGATATTTAAACAGGACATACTCCTAAAAGTCTTCTAATGTATATAAATACTTTAAGGTTTGGTGACTGCGGCTCTAAATTCATTTTGCATACGAGCGTCTGAGATGTCCGTGAGTAATTTTTCAGCTGTTGACAATCTCACTGCACGCCACAGTGGGAGACGTTATGCAGGAGATGTGCTGTCACAGAGTGAAAAACTGGAAGTAAAATAGTGTCTGTGTGACATATGGGAAACGTGCAATGATCATCAAACTTTTTGTCACAATAGCACGATAA